CTGTTGGAGCGGGTCCAGAGGAGGGTCACAAAAATGATCAGGGGGATGGAACACCTCTCCTACCAGGACAGGCTGAGAGAGTTGGGGTTGTTCAGCCTAGACAAGAGAAGGCTTTGGGGAGGCCTTATTGCAGCCTATCAGTACTTAAAGGCGGCTTATAAAAAAGATGGCAGCAAACTTTTAGCAGAGCCTGTTGTGACAGGACAAGGGGGAATGGCTTTAAACTAAACGGGGGTAGATTTAGACTAGATACAAGGAAGAAATATTTTACGCTGAGGGTGGTGAAACACTGGCACAGGTTGCCCAGAGAGGTGGTGGATGCCCCATCCCTGGAAACATTCAAGGTCAGGTTGGACGGGGCTCTGAGCAACCTGATCTAGTTGAAGATGTCCCTGCCCACGGCAGGGGGGTTGGACTAGATGACCTTTAGAGGTCCCTTCCAACCCAAACTATTCTATGATTCTATGATAAAAAATGTTCATGTCCTCAAGTTTCTAGCCTTTGCAATGGGACTTTGTTACTCAAAAGTGCTGAATTAAGATTCAGCAATGCGATGCTGAAGGTTCATGTAGCTGGGTGGTCTACTTGCTCTCACACTACCGCCAGCTCTGCTGCAGCATGGCCCTGTGAGAGCGTGCTCTGTGTTTGTTCTGTCTTATTAACCAGGCTATTGCAGATACTAATGTCATGTATCCTTGCACTTGAGCTAATTTCACAACTTCCTGCAGAGAGAAAACTCCGCCACGACCCCAAGGACAGAGACCTGAACCAGAGAACAGAGGGGTAAGTGAAAAAACAAGCTCGAGCAGGTAAGTTGTTTTTATTGATGGTGGTAATTCATTCTGGAGGACATAAAGTGGGCGTGAGATCCTGTGTGACGATCCTATAGCTTACATTTCTTGCTCATCCCCAGTAAGTTGTTCATGAATAATTGATAGCTGCGGTGTGGCAGAAAACTCCATTCCTATAGTACTCTTCAGCATCCCAAAGAATGGGCTAACTTGAATCGTGCTTCATGAAAACAGCCCTGTGTGGCATCACTGGAAATGCTCTTCTTCATACCTGATTGTTCTCCATATACAAATACAAGGAACACTTTGCTTTGAAAATTCTTTATGAAAGTATATTTCCATCAAACTATACCTGTCGTGGGAATGTATAACCCATGTGTGAACTTACTTTTTTGGCACTGACACCTGCTTCTAACATCTCTATGGGATGTTATTGTACCATGGCATTACAAGCAAAAGAATGTAGATATCTGTTGGGTACATGTTAATTTAAAGAGGGATCTGTGGGTTTGTTGAGAAGATTACACAGAATGAATGTAAACAACAGCTGGCATAGGTTGAACAGATGTGGGAGTAGCCAGCAAGACAGACCATAGTGTTCTTTGGCACAATGGCAGTGAGCATGACCTGATGAAACAATTCCATATTTCCATGTAACTCAGCCTAGGGTCCTTGGAGAGCATTTGTATACCTCATGCTTCAAGCAAACAACTCTGCTGGGTGTGATTAAGGAACATTTCTGTATTGAATGTATTGGGAGCATAGTTGTTCTCTCTCACTGGGGAGTTGCCTTCTTATTAAATCAGCTGCTATACCTTGTTTGAACCTTTTAGCTGGCACTGCCATAAGTCAGAGGAATCTGGTATGAAGACATAGCAGTAGTGATGCTGCCCTCCTCTTTCCTATAATTGCAGGACCTGCCATGCAGAGTGTTTTGTTGTCCCTGATAGTTAATGGCAAAAGACTTGAGAAGATTCATAGTCAAAAGACTAACCCCTCAAATCAAGGATCAACCCAGAAATGCCTGGTTTATATTATATGAGTGAAATCATCTTTGTCCTCCCACTGTTTGGAGATGATAGACCAGAGGGTTTTTCAGAATTGGTATCACTGTTTTAATTCTGAGACCAGAGGACAGTTTGCTGGATTACAGAACATGGCAACTGTGAGCTCTCCGCAGTTTTTAAACATGATGCAACTACTTAGATTCATATACAGTTGGTTCTCAGATAGTACACTGCTTTTATACAGTAGGATTCATCTTTTGACTTGATGTGGAATTTTAGTCTGGATCCTGTAGGGGTCAATGTTGTTGCATTGTAACTCTTCCTTTTTTCCTCCTTTCCTTATGTCTTGCATTC